TGTGAGAGGAGCCCCCACCGTGGACTGCAGAGGAGCCCCCACCGTGGACTGTGAGAGGAGCTTCCACTGTGGACTGTGAGAGGAGCCCGCAGCTGAAGCTTTGCAGAGTCTCCTGGTATCTCAGTACCCACATTTCCATTTTCACATGATAACCCAAATGTGTGGGTACTCAGAGGAACCGCTCTCCACCCTTCACCCATGGGGCCCTGAAGCAGAGTGGGGATGTGAAGACCACAGCCCAGGGTCTGATTTAAAGCAGTGGTCTAGTCATGGACCCATTTCCAGAGACTTCTGGCTCAGGCTCCAACCTCTAGTCACCACTCCTGCTACCTACTGTCCTTCCCCTCTTTCTGTGTCCCCTTTACCGCCTATTCTGTTTTTAGCTCTTAGAGATGACTAAGGGAACCAATCATTCTCCTCTTGGGCCAACTTCCAGGCTCCCTCCGACCTCCATGGGGAGTGATGTGCCATCCTATGGAGGGTGCTGTCGGCCCAGGTCCCCTCAGACCTCTGTGGCAGGCCCTGTGCTATCAGCCAGGTTTGAGAGTTTGTTTGCATCGGGACTCACCTCATCCTGAGAATATCTCCACACCGGGCTTTGTAGGCTGACCCCAGAGCTCAGGGAAGTAGAAAAGGGGTATTTATAGCAATTGGGCAGAATAATTTTGTTTGTTCATTTGTTTAGCAGGCCTGGGCCAGGTTCAAGCCCATCAGCCCCAGTGCATGTGGTCCTCACCTTAACCACTTATTTAGGGTGCTGAGCTGGGAAGAATAATCTTGTCTGTTGATTCTAATGAAATATTGGGAGGTGTAAGTTTTCTTTTTCTTATGTTATATGAAAGAATTGGAATTCCAGTACCACACTTGAATCCAGGTGGTCTGAGAAGCGCTGAGTGACTGAGGGTCCAGAGCTGGTGCTGTGGGCCCAGAGGTGCAGTGCTCAGGGAGGGGTCGGTTTCCAGTGTGGAGACGTGTGGGTGCAAAATAGGAAATGTAGGGGTGCCTGTGGGAGCCTGTGCAGTGTCTGTGACATGGGGGCTGGAGTGCAATGTGCTAGCCTTGCCCCTGGGAAAGGGGACACAGCAAACTGGGGGCTGTCACGACTGACCTCTTGGGGGGACAGGTTCCCAAAGGCTGCACGTGTGCCTAGAGGAGGTGGTTCTGGTTACGGACGAGACCGTTACTGATAAAAGTGCTGCCTGCCCAATCTTCCCTTAAACCTCTGAGGACCACAGGGCTTGGGCTGACTAGGAGTCAAGGCCAGTGAGGGCTACAGTGACTGTCCAAGGAGCAAAGCAGGGCATCTCCATGAGCGTTTGCACTTGGCCCTGGTGCTGCCCCGGGCTCCTCTCTGCATTAGCATGTGGGGGATGAGTGAAGCAGACGCCCCTGGACTCCTGGTCCATGACTCAAGGGGATTAAACCCCTTTGGAATGGGAGGTACTGGGGGGTCCTCAGCACTTTACCATACAGGTAACATGTAACCTCCCTAGCACTGAACATTCTATTATAGAGATTGCCAGCAAAGAGCTATAGCTTTGCAGATGTCATGTAAAATCTGCTCACTCACTGGCCACGCTGCACGCATACCCTTCCGCCTCACATCACCCTGGTGCCACATGTTTCAGTGGGGCTCAAGTTGTCACCAGTGCTCTTTTGCTGTCCCTTACCAGTGCTGCCATCAGGCCCAGAGAAGCAGCTCATGTGGGTTACAAGAATCCAACCTTATGAGGAACTTCATTCTGTGCCTCAGCCTATGAGAGATTTCTTTCTTTGTAGGGACCAGTGTGGTTCTTGCATCATCTCCTGAGCAGCTGAGCCTGGTGAGGAGGGCAGTGGTCACTGCCGTAATGTCAAGTGGTGGCTTCTGCAGGGAGTTGACAATGGCAGTGACCTCCATATCTTACATTTTCTTATTTTTACTCTTTTTTTTTTTGCAAGGGAGAGAGGTTACAAGTTTAATTACATGAACTTAGAACATCACTGGTCAAAACCCAAAGCAAATTCAAGATGCAGAGAGGTTAATTTGTCTACGATGACACAGCTAGAGGGTGATGGCGCCAGAACCCAGACCCGGGCATGACTCTGCAGCCAGGATGGGCTTACCTGACACATTTAAACTTTTATTAGTATGCATCATACCAGAATTGGAAGTAAGAGGACGCGATTCATGCTACGTGTAGGTAAAAAGCTCCAAGGAGGCTACGTTTGTGCTGTGGTTAAGGTGTGAAGCATTTCAAAGGCAGTGAAGGTGGAGAGCCAGTAGTGCCTGCAGGAGTAGAGTTTGTGTCCCCTGACTCAGAGGCATGTTTCTAAACACATTTATTGGCTATTCCAGGCACAGATCAAACTGCATAAATTTCTACACCCTGCCCGCCATGTGTTGTTTAAGAGCCGCTCACAGGTGAAGATGTAGTTTGTGTGGAATGCCGGGTGGGAACAGTGAACAGGGATTTCATGCCCGCTCTTGCTTGTGGGCTTTTTTTTTAAGACTCAGTTCTCACTTTCCAATCGATCATGTCGACAAAAAGAAAAAAAGACACACACCAGTGTTACAAAACCTTGTATTAATCATTTCCCTTCACTTTCAGTATAACGTTGATATGAAATATAGCCATGATTCTTAGTTACATGGGAGGAAATGAGTAATAAATACATTGTAGCAAGTTTAAACCACAAGGGTGTTTCACTGTAACAACATCTGAAAACTGTACACTTGCAAAGAACAGCATCTTCAAACATTAGTATATCTGTATATCAGTAAAGCTTTTACATGTAACAAACATGCTCTTTCCATATATGACAAATTTAAAAAATATGCATTGCTTGGCAACATAAACTAGGCAAAAATATTTCTTTGTTCACTAACTTTATACAGGAAAACAGGACGAAACGCATGCACGCACAATACAACGGTGCCTGCACGGGGCATGCAACGAGAAGTCTTTGTAAAAGTCAGCAACGTTAGGCATGGACACAGGAGGTCAGGGGCACTAGGGAGGAATCTTCTGCTCAACATCACTAGCATTCCTGTTTTCTTCCTATTCCTCCCAGAGGAATACACATTCACCTTTAAGTAAAGATAAAGGGGTTACAAAAAAATAAAACACGCTTTGCAAACATCTCTGATGACTTGTAAAAAAAAAAAAAAGTCAACATTAGTGTTATCACAGCCCCATGTGCAAATTATCCTTCGGTAGGTTCTTCCTGCGACAGGCAGTCCTGAGTGCCCTGGTCAGGCTGCCTCCCCGTGCCCAGGCTGGAGCCGCCTGCTGCAGACCTGTCCAGAGGGCTGAGGACATGGGGGCCTGCTCTGCATCCCCTCGCTGTCCTCTTGGCTTCGTGCCTGTGCGCTCAGCCCTGCCCAGCCCCCAGCCTGGACCCGGGGAGACATATCCACAAACTCTGCACCAGCAGTAACTACCAGAGGTGTGGAAGAACAGAAGACCAAAGGACCTGGGGAAGACTCCATTCCGTAAAAGGCAGCCAAGGATACCTCCAAAGAAAGCCCGGCTTCCCTTCATGTCTCTTCAATGAATGGGAGAGACAGGACCAGGCTGTAGCTCAAATCCTGGGGACCAAAAAAAAGGGACCATCTACACATAGGATCAGGAGGTGTGGTGCAAACAGCCGCCCTTGGCAGGCAGACCTAGCATGTCTATCCTGCTGGCTGGCTCTTGTTTAAAAAGTGAAACTCAAAAGCATGTGGAAAAAACAGCAGCAGCAGCGTCTCATGTCTTGTACACAGTTCACGAGTTTCTTCCTACTGTTTCTGGTAAGAAACCACTATGAATAAAAGCACCAGTAAAACATCGTACGTGACAACAACTCTACAGGACACCACCGTCCCTGGGACAGTGTGGAGATGGCGAGGACACATGGCTTAAATCAGAACACAGGGGGAACATGTAGTGAAATAGATTTTACCCTGGGATTTTAAATCACTTACTATTAATATAAAACAGTTGCATCTGGGGGTCAGTGGGTAAATACAAAAAAGGCACTGCCGCTACAGTACTAAATATTCGACTTCACAGCCTTGTGCATGCAACTGTTTGATTCTTTTATAAATAAAATTCTTTTGCTTTAGGATTTGTAAATTGCGCTGTACACCTACAGTCAGCACAGGACTCAGAACGAGGGGGACGGGAGGCTCCTCCGATTCATCAGAACACACAACTTAAAAAACAAAACACTAATAGCAAAACATAACTAAGTAGATAAATCTGTACATAGTCAATGAAAAATAAGCTTTTCTTTCTTTTTAAAAAAAGAATTATGTTGTTATTAATAACAGACTTTATCATGGTTACCAGCCATAGCAAGTTAATAAGTAACATATCCAAAATAATATCTCTAATAATCAGATAACTGTTGTTTCTCTATTCAGTGAAGGAATAAATAGAAATTCAGATTTGCAAATACTTTAAGGTCTCTTCTTCCTTTTAAAGGATCCATGCTGATGTGACTGTGTTCACAGTCTGTTTTCAAAACGACACGAGTCTTTACAGATGCGTTTTGCAGAGATCTGAACACGTTCTTCTTTCTCAACAAAGTGTGCAATACGTGGTTTCTTCTCTTTAACAACTTTCTCAGCATCCAAAAAACACATCCCCAAACCCTCTGGTCTTACCTTTGGCCTTCAACATTTGACCTATTCTTCCTGCCTTAGCTGTGGTCATCCATCCTGACACATTCCCCAAATAACACTGAGCTTGTTTAGAAAAGGGACGTGGAAGATGAATGTTAATGGCACTTGGTTAAAAATAATTAACTAAGAAACGCTGTCTCTTTCTGTGCGTGGACTTGCACCTTCAGAGGTCAGTTACCCAAGGAGAGGTCTGCACCTGTTACACGCCATGCCTGTGACTGTGGGCCCAGGGCTCCCCACTCAGGGAAGGTGCTCTCTGGTTCCACTGCTGTCACCTTTCTAGACTGTACAGGACTTCACAACCGTGTTGCAGTGTTCCAGACTGGGGTGGGTCTACCTTTTTAATCTTGAAGGTAAAAGAAAGTTGTTTAGATTTCATTAAGGCCTTTAAAATCTATATATACTTCCATTAGTTTAAAAACACCCCACCAACGAGTGCAGTGATTTTCATGGTCTTATGTTAATCTTGACTCTGACTTCACTTAAAAAACACAACCCCAGACTCATCCATTTAATAAACCAGCCTTACACCCCCTCCCTGATCTAGCCACTGGCTGAGCATCCTCCCCACATTTACACAACCCGATTTTCCAGCACTGAGCGCGACTGCTCTCATTTCTGCTAATACCCTCCCCACCCCGCATCAAATTCTGAAACGCAGCTTTTCTTGCCCTAAGAAATAGAGCTATTACTCTGCGGTACCACAGTTTGTTAAGCTCTCACTGTGTAATGAGTGTCTTTCTCTCCCCTCTGTGTGGATGGGTAAATCAGCCAACTACACAGGAAACCCGTAACTGTCTCCACCGTGACACTACCCTTCCCTGCGCCTTCTTTCCCTCCCCGCCTGCACTGAAGGCCCCGCCGCCCTGCGCACTCTCTCTGGCACTTGCTGTGACCTTTATACACTGTTGCTGGGCCTTCCCCTCCTGCTCTTCCTCAGCAGTGACTGAGGGGAGGGGCTGCAGCCCTGGGCTCTGGGTCCTGCCAGCAACCCCACCATCTGGGTATCAGACCTCTCATGAGGGAAGAGTCCATCCCTGCCTTTCCTCCTCCAGGGGAACCTACACCCACTGGTGTGGCTGTGGAGCAAGGCTGGGAGGGACAGGATGGAGCCCCGTGCCGGGGACCTGGGGCAGGGGATAAGCAGAGCCAGCATGGGAGGAGGCCATGGGCTCTCTCGGACTCTGAGTGACCACGTGGTGGCATCAACCTCATGCCCTCACCCTGTGTCATTCTGGCCACATCTGTGTCCTTCACCTCCACCTACATGTCCCTCCCACCTGCTGGCAGAGAAGACCTCTCTGGCCCACGTGACACAGGGGCCCAGGGCACCCCCTTCCCGAGAAGCAGAGCTTGGCAGCCATTTTAAAACACAACCCTGCTGCTATTATAAAAATAGAGAAAAAAATGAACCCATAACAACACATCCTTTACAAAGACCATCGTCTGTAGAGAAGTTCTGCCCAAACTCTTTACACATTCTGTACCCTTTGAAGTTGTCATGTAAACAATACACAAATCAAAGTTTATCTGGAGTTTTGTTGGAGAGAATTTCTTCCTTCTCACCCCTGCTGCTGCAGGGCCCTCTCTTGTGGGTCTTCTAAGCAAGGCCTCGGGGAGATGCAGTCAGGACCGTCTCCTTGGGACACACGTGCCCTTGTTGCGGTCTGTGCGCCAGGCTTTCCTAGAAGGCCCCCTCCCTCCCGCGTCCCTCTCAGGCCAGGACTCTGACTTCCCCTTCGCTTTCGGGAAGCTCCTCGTATCCCCTCCACCCTTCCCAGGCCTGTGTTCCCTAAGACCCCTCCCCACCCCACACACCAAACCGTCCCATGACAGAAACAAATGACAAAATGACCAATCCCAGGTCTACTGATACGTTTACAAGGATGACCTACGCTCTCACAAATCAAAACGGGAGAGGGACCGGGGGAAAGAGGCTGAACGTATCTTGGAGGACTCTGCGCAGCCCTGAAGATGCTGACACTGGACCCGCAGCAGTCGGTTCACGGCCAGCGCGGTCACTCTCATCTTCGGCTTCTAGATCGTGGAGGTCCGGTCCACCCCATCTGGGGGAGGAAGCAGCACACAACAGCCTGGGGTGAGCAAGACGATTTCATTCATGCCACATACAGCAGTGCCCTGCAGGCCGGCTCTCCCAGGCTCTGTGGGCAGGTAAGGGCTGTGTTCCAGCCTGCCCTCTTGGGCCATCAGCTATTCTTGCGAAGAGCCATATCGAGTATAAGAACTAAGATGAAAAGGTCCAATTCTCACTTTCCCGGTACCTGAGTTCCGGGCTGGATGCAGCCACATGAACCCTAGGGATGCTGTGAGTGGAGATTGTTATGATGGAGACGTACTCAGGCAAGCAGTGGGAACAGAGGGCGGAAGGGTTAGTGTCTCAGAAGCTGAGGGCACTTTCACAGGGTTTCAATGTGACTTTTGTAGGTGATGCTGGCAGGAGAAAAATGTGCCAGGTAAAGAAGGGGCTGGGGGGGGAGATGAAGGAGGGAAGGGCTGGGGGGACAAAGGAGGGAAGGGATGAAGGAGGGAAGGGCTGGGGGATGAAGGAGGGAAGGGATGGGGGATAAGGGGGAAGAGGTGGGGGGTAAAGGGGGAGGAAAGGATGGGGGATGAAGGAGGGAAGGGATGGGGAATGAAGGAGGGAAGGGCTGGGGGATGAAGGGGGAAGGGATGGGGGATGAAGCAGGAAGGGCTGGGGGATAAAGGAGGGAAGGGATAAAGGAGGAAAGGGATGGGGTCCCCGGCTGCAGGGCTGGGCGAGGGCTGCCCTGGGCATGCATGTAGACCTGTCCCTCAGCATCTCCACGTGCCAGATAAAAGACTAAGCACAAGGTGGCTGTGACCTCATCTCATGAAAGTTCTCCAGGGAGTGGGTGATTGCTGAGGCCACCCAGGATCTTCCACACCTACATTTTGGAGGATCAGAGAACCTGGGATACAGTGGAAGCAGGGACACACATCAAAGATGAGAGGCCATGAGTGACACGGACAGGTGGGAGGGGCCGTCCACCCAGCACACGGCTCTAGCAGAGCTCCTCAGAGCAGACTATGAGGTTTTATATGCCAGGAACATGAACTTGGATGAGGGCAACTGGCCAACTATAAGTGACAGAGTAACCAGATCTGATTTTAGGATGGGTCCTCTGGCCACTGTGTTAATAACCTGCAGGGCGAGGCTGGTGGTGGGAGGACCAGTGAGAAGCCCCCTCTGGTGGCCTGTGCTGGAGCTGACACGGGGCTGTGTGCTGGGCAGAGGGGCATGGATGAGCTGTTACAGGTGGCAGATGTGACTGTTCAGTGCCCACTGAATGTGGGCAAGGGAGGGATGCAGGCTACGTCCCTGGCTTTGCCCACATCCCTAATGTCAGCCCCAGTATCACACAGCTGGTCTACGAGATGGAGCATCTGTATACAGGAAGCAGAACTCAGGAGTAGGGAGGGAGCAGCCCTCATTCCATGGGAAGCTGGGGGAGCCAGGGGCTGCAGAGGAGCTCTGAGCCCCTGGCCTCCTCAGGGTGGCTCCAGGCTGCCAACTCTCCCAGCAGGGCCTCAGGGCAAATGCCTCTTGATTTGTAGGTTCACAGAACCCAGGATACAGTGGGAGCAGGGGCCTCATTGTGCAGAGAGGACCCACAAGGGTGCCCCCTCTGTGAAGAGTGTGTGGCCTTCCTGCTACTGACCACAATGATGCCAGCTCTGAGCAGTGTGATGGGAACTTCCAGGCCAGGCATGGTGCTCACTCACACCTGTAATCCCAGCTCTCTGGGAGGCCGAGGAAGGTGGATTCCTTGAGCTCAGGAGTTTGAGGCCAGCCTGAGCAAGAGTGAAATCCTGTCTCTACTAAAAATAGAAAAACTAGCCAGTGTTGTGGTGGGTGCCTGTAGTCCCAGCTACCCAGGAGGCTGAGGCAAGAGGATTGCTTGAGCCCAGGAGTTTGAGGTTACTGTGAGCTATGACACCAGGGCACTCTACCAGGGTGACAGAGACTCTGTCACAACAAACAAACAAACAAATAATCAAAAGCTTCTAAAATGCTTATTATCTGAGATACATCAACTTTCCAGGTTCCCCCCAATGATAACATTTGGCAAAGCTACAGCACAATAAATACCACACTGACAGGTACGACCTTGATACAGTCCACTGAACTGTTTTCCCCATTTTACCTGTATTTGTGTGTTATGTGTAATTTGGGGGGAGATTTTAAAGAAAGGAAGCAGTGGTCCTGAGTGTCTGTGGTGTTAGGTCACCGATCCTGGAGGCCCCGGTATGACTTCTCTCCCAAACCTCCCCTCCTTTCTTGGTGTCGGGCCTCTGAGCCGTGGCTCCACAGTGGTGGCGGAGAGCAGGGTGCTACGTGTATGCCTGTGTCCTCATGGTGCAGGTAGAAGTGTGTGCACACGTGCTGGACTCAATGGGGGCTCGTTAAAGCCAAACCTTGAAACTATAGACTTGGGGAGCCAGAGACATGAACATCTCGGCTAACTCAGCCCTAAGCTGCATTTTCTCTGAATCTCAACCCTGTACCCCATCCTTTGCAGGGAAACGTCCAGTAGGTAAGTCCAGAGCTGACACTGGCCGGTGTGTGGGCCATGCACTGGGCACCTCTGGGTACCACTCACATGCAACTGTCACAGGTTTTAAGGTTGTCATGACAAATTTCCAGTACATGTCGGCACAGCCTCCTGAAAAGGTACAGCCCCTTTGTACTTTGCATAAAGCCTCTGTCAGCTAGCAGTGGGGCTGGCAAGTCCCAAGAAAGGGAGAAAGGGGTGAGGAGCGCAGGAGAGAGGGGACAGTGGGGCACGGTCTGCTGCAGACTGTGCTCTTCTCCCTGCAGGAGTTTGCTGCTGGGCGGACTGGGGTGGGTGGGGGGCGGGGGAGGAGGGGAGATCCCTCTGCAGGAAGGAGAGAGCAGCCTGGCATCTTCCTGAACCTGTAGGGTTACTGCACAGGAGCAAGTCCCCCAGACCTGACAGAAGCCTCAGATAGGACCTGCGGAGCCAGACGCAGAAGGAAGGAAGAGATGGAAGGGAAAGCCAAGGAGAAAATGGCTCAGTCGGCAGCAGGAGGGCAGCAGTTCTGGAAGCAGAGATCGGCCCTCAGGAACCAGCTAAAGGATGGGCCCCTGGGGACCAGCCACCTCCTCCATTCCTGAGTCACAAGCAGGGAACCTCTTCACTGTGCTCTCCTCTCCTCCCTGGTCATTTGTCTTTTGGTAAAATGACTTAATTCACTGGCACCCTGTCTCTAGCAAGGTCATCTTCCTTTCTGGCACTTGGAAGGGGTCAACCATCAGAGGGGTGCTGTCACTGTGGGAGGGCACAATGCCACCATGTCCAACCAGGCCACCCTGAACTTAATCTGCATTCTCTGCTCAGTAAACTGCTCACAAGGCTTCCCACCAGAGGGGATTATTGAGGAAAAAAAAAACCCACAGCAATAAAAAGGCTTAGGAGATTAACAAGATGAAAACATTAGCAACAAAACCATCAGTTCAGAGAGGTTTTCTGTAAAAATAGAACGGACTAAAAAAAGAAGTCTTTTCAATGAAAATGCTCCTTGAATAAAGAGCATTTGGCATTCTTGCTATTAATGATGACAGTGCTAGCACTGAGCAGTCTGATAAGGTTTTTGAAACGCCTGTTATCTGAGATGTATCGAGCCCTGGGGGGAAGGTCATTTCTCCCTGCCTCTTGAAGGCGGGGAAAGGAGGAGCCCAACTTCCACCCAACTGGCCTTGGGGCAGGTGGGCACCCAGCTCCCTGCAGTGGGCTGAGCCAGCTGCAGTGCAGGGCTGGGGCCTCCTCTGCAGTGCAGGGCTGGGGCCTCCCCTGAAGTGCAGGGCTGGGGCCTCCCCTGAAGTGCAGGACTGGGGTCCTCCCTACAGTGCAGGGCTGGGCACCCCCTCTGCAGTGCAGGGCTGGGGCCTCCCCTGCAGTACAGGGCTGGGGTCCCCCCTATAGTGCAGGGCTGGGCACCCCCTCTGGAGTGCAGGGCTGGGGCCTCCCCTGCAGTGCAGGGCTGGGGTCCCCCTACAGTGCAGGGCTGGGCACCCTCCCTGCATGCAGGGCTGGGGCCTCCCCTACAGTGCAGGGCTGGGCACCCCCCACCTCGCTCCCCCCGCAGTGCAGGGGTGGGGCCTCCCCCACAGTGTCAGGGCACTGGTGGGTGTCCACCTGGGGACCCACCAGTTGCCATCCTAACTCTGGCCCCATGAAGACCTTCAGTATTTCTTAAAAATTAAAAAAAAAAATAGAACAGTATGTTTGCATATCATAAATCCTACCCTTTGAAAGGCTACAATTCAGTGGTTTTTAGTATATTCACAAAGTTGTGTAACCATGACCACCATCTAATTCCCAAACATTTCATCATCTCCTAGAGATCTGGCCCCATCAGCAGTCACTTGGACGCCTACTGTCCTGCAGGCACCATCGATGTGCTGCCCGAGCTGCAGGCGAGCCCCTTCCCGCCACTTCACGTGGGGGAGTCCCGCACTGTGTGGTCTCACACTTAGCATGTTGCTGTCAAGGCCCCTTCGCCCTGGCACGTCCCAGCACTTCTCTCTCTCTTAGGGCTGAACATACTGCTTTTTGGCTACACCACATTTGGGGATCCCCATTCATCTGCTGATGGATGTCTGCGGGCTCATTACTCATTGGGGCTGCTGATCCAATCTCCTCTGTCAAGTGGAAGAGAAGATTTGGGCAGCAGGGATGGTGATGATGCTCAGAAGCTTCTAGGGTCTGAACAGCCAAGGAGGGAGAGGCCCCCCAAACTTGTGGTGCCCCCAGAGGTGCCCGATGCATGGCCTGCACACCAGCCAGTGTCACCTACTGGATGTTTCCCGGCAGAGGACCAGGTGCAGGGTTGGGATTCAGAGAAAATGCAAATAGGGCTCTCCTGTGTCCTGCAGGATGCCAGAAGGGGCTGTGCCTCCCGCCACCTGTTTGGTCTGAAGCCCTGATGTCACGGAGGCCCTGGGAGGCTGGGCCCTCCTAGCAGTGAGAGTGAGTGGCTGTAGCC